CGATTTGCGTTTATTTGCATATCACACGAAATTGATCGTTGTTGTTCGAAAACAACCTGCGTATTATTGATGGTCGCACGAGAAGAGGACCAGTTGGTTCCCTATATTCCGGAATGCAATGTCGTTTTCATATTTTCAGCGATGCCCTATTATCGGGAATACCCCAGAGGCATACTAGAATAATGCGGAACGGAGGATGATTCAATACAGAGATCGCCTCGCGGCTTACGCGAACCCGGATACGCGACGCGTGTTGGGTGGATAAAAAAAAAGTTCCGCGATTTGAGCGTTCTCGCAGAAATAAAAATGCCCGACGTGGCACGATAATCGCTCGTGTCACGTCGTTTTTTTTTTTTACCATGCAGGTTCGATCGAGGCGTGATCGTGAACGCGATCGGAAATCGCCAAGCGATCATCTGGCCAATTTCGCCCGGCCGGACATTGCACGAAAAATACAACGCACGTACCGCGAGCGCCGCTTAAAAATCAATTTCGTAAAATAATATTAATAGGCTTATCTCTGAAAGAAAGAAGGCGATAAAAAGAGAAATGCGAGAAATAAATCGCTTGAAAATATGAACTGAAATTTTACACCGTCAAATATATATAAATAACTAATTCTCCTTTCAAAAATATCTTTTTTATCGAAAATCTCGTAGTGAATAAACATTTACGAATATATTATAGAATATGATTTCAATTGCAACTGTCACTAATTTTTATTATAGTATATAAATTATAATAAAAATAGAAAGTCTATACGATAAAATTTTAAAACGATATTACATGACAAAAATATCTTTTTTATCGAAAATCTCGTAGTGAATAAACATTTACGAATATATTATAGAATATGATTTCAATTGCAACTGTCACTAATTTTTTATTATAGTATATAAATTATAATAAAAATAGAAAGTCTATACGATAAAATTTTAAAACGATATTACATGATATAATTGAAGACAATTCAAATTTCAGAACAATCATATATATAAAAACTTGTTGAAATATCTATATGTGTGTGTGTCTCTGTAAAAAGGATCCATGCAGATTTTTTCGATTAGTAACACACTATACTATATTGGAAGAGGATTAAACGTGGCTTAAACGTGCAGATACTCGGAGGCATCCCGGGAGAGAAAGCTGCGGATGCGGTTGCATGTATTCCGCGAATTTCCGAGCGCGAGTGGGTGCAGCTACGAGACGGGGCTGCCGCATCGTCAGGGTGCATATTGTGTGTCGTTGCTGCATGCACTCGCGTTCACATAGATCGCGCGTATACACACGCGATCTATATGAGGCGACGTTGTATACGCCGATGTAAGATTTATTTCGAGATTATACCGTACAATCGCGCGGGAGAGCTACGTTTTCCCGAGCTACCGACGATCGTGTTTGCCGACGTAATCAGCAGCTTGCGATATGAATATCACAATATCGCGCACGGCTGCATTATAATCTCACGCGTGCGAACACGTGCGATTGCGGATTCCGTGCCGTAATCGCGAAGATAGAAGTCCGCGAATTTGCGGAGTAAAACGACAAGTGCAGATTATTCTCGCGCATCTGTAATATATTCGTGCGAGTTTCCAAACTTATCCTAACTTTATAACAGGATTGTGTTTCGATTATGTAAAATGTCACTCGAATTTAGGACATGTAAGAATGAAAAAGTTTCGAGAATCTGCCATAAAAATTAAACTAACACTTACAAACTCTTACAATTAAATACAAATTTCTTATAAAATTTAAATAATTTTGTTCAGACATGATTTTTTTTTTTATTTCGTAAAATGTTGCGCGTAAATATTTTTTTATTCGTGGAATATTTTCACGTTTGTTTCAAACTAAAGACAATTGATTTTATAAATGCGAAATCCGTAAAATGCATTTAATGTAAAACGGAATTGAAGTTTTTCGTTGCGTAATTTTGCTGGGTTGCATTATATACGGAATTTATCGTACAGTTTTATCATAAGTCGCGTTTTCCGCTCCGTCGTCCGATTCTCTCATCTCGTACTCACTTCTATTCCTTGCTGCTTCCGTTTCCGCGCGTAGATTCGCGACGGCGTGGAAACTAACTACGTGAAACGCATTCAAACTCTGGCAAGCAAACGAGTCAAGATGAAATCCGCCGCGATTGGGATTAACGTCGGAAATTATTCGGAAAACCCTAGATGGTTGCCTTTCAATCATAACGCGACATCGTTTCTTCTGTCGTGTTCTTCACAATTCTTTTTATTCTACCATTATCCAGCTGCAACTGTTCTAACATTATTCACGTCATATATTGCATTTAATTTTTTTTACGGTTACGAATATAATTTTCTATTTTATCCGTGATTGAAGAATGAATGAATATGACAGATCATAACGCGCTTCCATTTAATTCTATTTTGATTTCTCATATTTTCTGCTGTTCAATTTTCCAGTACTTCATGCAGTTTCCAGTTTCTTATTACTCTGTTCAATCAAGAAGTTGATATAAACCAATAAAATTACGTGGCATGTTTTTCTTCGATTATTTCATACGACGGTGAAGGAAATGAAAGAACTGTTCGCGCACTTTCTTTTTCTGTCTCTCTCTCTCTCTCTCTCTCTCTCTCTCTCTCGATGATTTCTCTGACGGGAAACTTGGTGTTTTCGCGGATACGCGCTAGATTGTCGATATTCCCGTCGATGTAACTCGCGTTTTATTAAAGTTACGTTAATAAAAGTCGCTCGCTCACCCGAAAGGAATAATAATTTTTCTGCGTTTCGTCGAATCGATACCGCGCGGGAAATCGAAGAAAAATATTGCGAGAGAAAGCTGGGTACGCGCATATATCCCTCTCTTTCTCGTTTCATCAGCCGATTTCGTTGTGAAACGGTCGTTGCTCGGGAATCAATGCCACCTTGTTTATCGACGAGCATTCCCGCGATTCTCATTGGTCGTTTGCCTATTGGTGCATTGCGAGAATGAATTAAATTAACATGCAATTATTATTTCGCAGCGCATTACGCGGGACAATAATGCATTGCGTATACACGACGCCAGTAATTGAAATTATACGCAATCGCGTTATTGCAAATATTTTCATCCCATACAAGATGTCCGAAATAACTTTCGCAATAACTTTCGTTTTTTCTCACTGATAGATATTAATTGAAGATATTCCTGCGCTCTTATGCGCATTAAAAATTATTGATATTAATCATGTAATATTTCGAAGAAACTTACTTTATGTATATACGTTATGATTATTCATTTAGCTACGTTACATCAACGATATTACTGACGGGAATCTCAATGCTTTGATCAAGGTGTTATTATTAATAATACCGGCTGAGCGCTGTGTTCGTTTGCGTTTCGCTCATGCCATTAGAAAGGGGCTTCAAATTAATCCGCTTTGATTTATTATTTAAATAGCCTTATGGACTCTGAGAGAACTTCATTTTGAAAGCCTTCTACTTCGTTCCTTCTCATTAAACATCGAGATTTTATTTATGATATTACATAACATTATGCTGTACGAATGTAATTATTGATTGTTTCATTCACAATATAAGATTGCAATTAATCAAGTATAAGAGCCACTAACACAAAATTTCCGCGGCCATATAGTCAAATGAAAACATCAAACAATCCATACCGGTCGCGTTATTAAATTAGCTTTGAATAGCTTTGAAATTTATCGCATAACATTAGCTAATTGCAATAAATTTAAAAGCCATCAAAAATATTTTACATTAAATGAAAACGCGAATAATTCACATCGCTAATTTATTATGACATATTTACATAATTATAATTAATTAAAATAGATTCAGAATTATGGAAATTATGCATATTTTTCCTTTATAAAAATAACTTAATAATATTATCAAACAAATACATTTCGAAATTAATAATGATATTTGTTTTACAAATATTTATTTTTGCTTATTTTTTGTCATGACAGTTCTATTAATCAAGCTATAGAAATCAATGTTTTAATTTTATATGTAGATGTATATAAAATTTAAAAACTCGTGTTAAAACAAACGACGCGAATTTTGAGCAGTGACATGAATTTCCTGATTCTAATCATCTTTATATCATCATCAACGTCATCATCATCATAGCTGAATTAACTCTATACATAAACACACATCACATCAAATTCGATGTAGTGTTCAATCGAAATTTTCATTATGCGAGAAAATCATATGTGATAAAATTCCGTGGCTAACGTGACGCGTTTCCGTTTTGACTCCACTGTCGAAAATGCAGATTTCATTAAACTCCGGATCCGTTAATATCCGCAATATTATTGCGCCGTGCATCGGTATCTATCGATTCATAAATAATGCTCTGCGTCAAAGCAATGTTTATAAATTATTGACGATGTCACGCCCCGATACTCTCGCGGCATTTAGTCTTTTTCCGCGATCTCATTCGAATACTTTGCGAGATATGTTAAAAACTATAACTTAGTTATTTATTGCTAAACATTATTGAAATCATTCATCTCGTTGCTATTCAAATTTAAAAATTCAATTTAAAAACTCAAAATTACACAAACTAATAAATAAGCGAATTCTTTCTATGAAACATCCAAATATTGTATATCATTTTTGTAAGAAACATTTTTTGTCATGTTTTTTTTTGTAGATTAATTATTGCATAATTAAATAAAAGTCTTTTTAGACGATTTGTAATTACAATTTAAGACTATTAAATATTTATATATATTACAGAAAAATATTTAAACACGTAAAAATCATATAATATATAAAAATCAAAATTTATATTGTATATATATTAAGATATATGTATACACAAGGATATATCGGATATCCTATATATTAAAAGATATATCTAAATCTAGTGCTATGTTGAATATTTTACAAGTGGTGAAATATACTTGTATACTTACATTTTATTTTACGTTCGACTTTTATTCTGAATATTTTACAAGTGATAAAATATACTTGTATACATTTTATTTTACGTTCGACTTTTATTCTGATTGCAGTTGCGCCTATTGCCAGTTTGAAGATAGGTTCCAACCTGAATCCGAAGAACATCAAGGAGGGCTCTGACGTTTATTTCGAGTGCAACATCAGGGCAAATCCTAAGTTAAGCAAACTAACTTGGTTCCACGAGGTAAGCACTACATCGACTCTCCTCTTCTTTTTGCGAATTAAGACCATAAGTCGTATGTGGTTCTTGTCGAATAATGATCCGACAATGCACAACTATGTCACAGCGGAATAATATTTGTGCATTAACTAAGATAAAGATATATAGGATGGATCTTGATTGCAACAAAAACACATGACGAGATAAAATCAATCCTAAATTTATCAATGATCTGTTATTGAAATATTTTTCTATGACTTTAAGATTTCTTATATATATATCAGTCTCTCTGTCGTCTATTTATTTAAATAACTACAATAATTGGATGCGGCTATTTTTTTTAAAGTAAATATGTAGCTCCCAGCTCATGCATAAGGAATTAGTCGAATAGTTATCGAAGATTAGATCTGGGTTAGTTACAATTGATCTGCAGGGGTATAATAGGTCGAGTACCCTCAACATAGCCCTTTAACCCATCCTAAATTGTGCAATATACGTCTCATCGCATAATATCGTTATATTCTCCGTGAAGGGTTTCATCGATGAAATTTGGTGAATAACGCAATAAATTATCATTTTACTGAAACTTGTAGAAGGTAATTGTTTATGCGCGAAAAGACAGTATTAATATAAATATTAAGATATTGAAATAATTTATATGAAAGCAGCGTGAGAGAGAGGATTTTGAAAATATATTCCGCATCTGTACGATAGAAATTTTTATTTCCTATTCTTCTTGCAATCTCTTAAAAAATAAAGGAGATAATGTATTTATTTGTTTTTTCAAAATAACGATATTAAACCACATTCTATCTTCTTTTGCTCATTAGAAATTTAATTTCAAGTATGTAGATGATTAATTATTTTGCTGTATATACATAACATCAAATAATATTATTTATAAAACAGCGTGACTCTCTTTGTACTGCTAGCTTTTCAAAATTTCAGTTATTAATATGCATTTCAATGACATTATAGTTTCAGAGGTATAAAAAAGATGCGGCGAGATAAAACGAGCATATATGGTACATGCATTTAACGACTGCAAATGGCCGCAGGACAAAATTTCAGAGACGACCGATTTTAGCGGCTATTTACGCTCACTCTAATGAAATATCCCCTAATTAGTACGCCTAGTCCGTCCTGCATTAACATTGCGCATCGGGCTCATCCGCCTACGGTGCTATTCGATGCACGCGGCATTAGCCGAAATAGATTACGTGAATCATTGCGCAACACTAAAGCGATCGCGCGCAGACAGAACGAGGTAAACTCGAATATTTAAATAATTAAAAATAAAAAAAAAATAAAAATAATTATTTCAATATAAAAATATGTTGAACTTTATAATTCAATCAAGATTTTATATATACATCTAATATTGTATAATAATATATTAAAATAGCATACAGAGAGAGGTAAAATATCAACTCTCATAAAAATGTATGCACGACAGAATTTTGAAAATATATACTCGCAATTACTTATGAATTATATAATATTAAATCATATTAAAATCGTAGTAATTATAATATTTTATGAATTTCATAAAATTTAATGATTTTTTGAGTGTTCAATCTTTGGTTGATTTAATTAAAAAATATTTATTGCTTGCACCAAATTCAAGCGCTGAAGAAAAATCATCTTGAATTAAATCCTATTCTCGCGATTATCTGTGTGAATTTCATCGAATTGATTTTCTTGTGCGCGCGTTCAGTATTTCTTAATTTAACCGAGTATATATAAATACTACTTGCACGGAATACTAAAGGAAGATTATTTCGGATTAAGACAAGCTAGGCATTTTCTTACGTTACCGATGAGTCTCTGGAGGTGTCGTACGCGTAGAAACGAATTGCGGAAGTTAGCATCGAATAATTACAACGATCAAAGCGCATTGCTGTTGCAACGACGTAATTAATTAAATTCGAAGACACCACGACGCAACGATCTACTTTCGAATTAATCTTTGTGGAAGCTATTGAAAAAAAAAATGTGTCTCGAATTTTCTTCTTATATCTCGGAGGAGAATCATCTTACGAGAAAAATCTCGTGTTGCAAAAACCACATAAACAGATTTACTTCGATCTTTTACTCCCATCATTCAATGCAAATAAATAATGATCAATACGATTTGAATACTAAAGCATTAATATAAATCATTCCCCTTACTTCGGCCAGACGCTTTATCTTAAAAAGCTTTACTTTTCTTTCGCGAACTTTCGTTTCCTTATGGAAAAGCATTGTTTATATAATAGACCTTTTTTCCGCGGAGACGATCTTCGAAAAGTACGTCGCGCAGATTCACCTTTATCTTCGGTCACTCGAGGATCGCTAAAGTTAAGCCTCTTAAGCAAGATTACGTCTTCCATCAGTTCCCTTCTCTCTCTTACTCTTTCTTTTCGAAACGCTAAAATCCTACGAGTATTTTCCCGGTTCGTTCGTGACGTTCTCGCATCCTACAAGGACATTGTGCGATATCTAAACTGCGCTTGGACCAGTTGCTTAATCCGCGAAACAAAACTGAATATTACAAAGCTTCTACAACGGTACTATTTTCCAAAAGCCTGAGCCAACTCGTCAAGGTAGATTTATGAATAAGATCGCGGTAATATCTTTTTTTTTCCATCAGTTTGTGCTCTCGTACGCTATGGATGAATAATGCGAGTCGCATGACACGCAAATATTATATTTAGAAATTGTGCAGCGAGATTGAAACAAATATTTCTTCTGTTTTTGTCAGAATTGATTGAACTAAATTTCAGCATATGAGGATGGGCAAATATGGATTATTAATTTTGACACAATACATGTAATCTTTTGAACGATAACAATAATAATAACGAAGCGAAAGGGAGGAAAAATTGATAGTGAGATATTCTGTGTAACATTATTTTAACTTCAAAATGAATGACAGACATTAATACATAAATGCTCGAACTTTTTTCACGATAACACACTTTCAGCAAAAAAAAATGACAACTTCAGAAGGAAATAATTTCCAGAATAAATAAGCCATTTAACGCGCTAATAGATTTAGAAACATCTCAGCCAGGCATTTAAAGTTTAATGTAATACACTTTGACATAAGGAGAAACATAAAGAATAACGATGCACGCTGTTTTAGGTAAAAAGTCCAGTTTTTGCAAATCTCTTTGCCCTCTCTCTTTCTCTCTATCTTCCTTTTGCATGTCCTTAACTTTGGACAATTTCGCGGATCGTTTGTCTCGGTTCCAGCGCGACGTTGTTGCATATTTAAGCGACGAGACGGACGTGAGAAGAAGAATGTTGACTGTCCTCTTTAAAGTTTTAAGAAGCAGGACGAAGGTCCTCACGACTCCTTACAAAGCAGGAGTATCGAGTCGCTTCTCTCGCACGCTTACGGGACAATTTTCTCTCTCGGATAGTCGCGCGCTGCCGGAAGGGACGAAAATTTTTCCTTAGAGAGGCAAGATGCCGTAACGCGACTCTGGGGAATTTCAGGCGGAATTTCGCGAATTATTTATCGGCCCGGTGCCACACAAGGAAACAACGACGACGACGATATAGGTGCGAGGCTGTGCACGTCCCAGATAAACGGACTGGCGAATCGGCCGAGAAAATCGAAGACAACGCTCGATATGATTCGACTGGGATTTCACTTTTCTCATGCCGTATAAATCCCGGGGAGAAACTTTTAATTGGACAGTATTTTATATATATAAAGGGAACGAAAAGAGAAATATAGTTGTTTCGAGTTGGAGACGTTTCGAAGATATTTTCTCTCTTGCGCGCGTCTCTCTTGAAATAATTTATATAATATAAAAAGTGTATAAAGGAGAGAGAAAGAAAGGGAGAAAACTTTTTCTTCCGGGAAAGAGAAAAAGAAGTGGAAACTGAATGTTTTAGTATCTCTCCTCTTTTTACTTTATTATGCCTTCAAGCATCAATTTGCTTCGTTGCTTTTTTCCTGCTTGCTAAAGTTATTACCGATGTCCGAGTTTTCGCGAAAGATTTAAGGATCTGATTCACGACGCGGTGAATTTTCGGGAATAAGTTCCATCCGAATAGAATTTTAGGGCGCAAGGATAATTTCGGAATGTCCGCAGCTATTCGTTGGACGACGCGCGAGCGCCGATGTGCATTCTCGTCGAAATTATTGCAAATTTACGAGCACCCGTTGTCGCGCACCTCTTCCCGGTTCTGTTCGTCGAACCGAACCGATAAATCGCCCACGAATCACCGGCCTCCGCCATTGGTTTATCAATTCGTAAAAACGTTCGTGCGACGAAAATTTTATGGCGAACGGATGGATGGAGTGCGTACGTGCGTGTTTACGCAACAAACGCACAATGTGCGTTCATCATTGTGAAAATTGCGACACTCGTTCGCGATGACATTTTTACGTTTCAATCACGTCCTTATCAAACATTTAGAATTAATCCGAGCTCTCGCAGGCATAGAGGCACACATTCAGAACATATATTTTATCTACATTTTTATTACATACATATTACTCGGCTCATCTTTTCATCAAGAAGCTCTGCTTGTAATTTTTATTAACGTACAAAGAGAAAAGAGGAAGCTTTTTTTTTCGCGAAAAAGAGCATTCATATTTTCGAATTATCATTATAATCGAATTATAATTATCATTATAATCCGAAAATATGAATGCATATGTATGCTCTTTTTCGCGAAAAAAAACTTCCTCTTTTCTCTTTGTACGTTAATAAAAAATTACAAGCAGAGCTTGATGAAAAGATGAGCCGAGCAATATGTATGTAAAGAACATTGAAAATAAGCAGCCAATAACGATATTAAAAAAAATAGACATCTTTTACTATAAAATCCTTTTCTTCCTTTATTGAGGATTTTATTTTATTTAGAAATCACGTAGATGATGTTGAATGTGTGTTAAACAAGATTTAAATAACATTACAGATAATAATAAGATTAAATAATATTTTTCTTTAAATTGCGCTCGATAAAACACTTTTATCATTTTTATTTACAATATCTAAACCGCGAGAAAATCGGGGAATATT